GCCTCAAAAAAAACAGTGTCTCACGTTAGTCCGTCAGCAGTGCTCTTGTGTTATAGTGCGGCAGAGGTTAACTGTAAAAAGGTCTCACCGTTATACTCAGATCGGCGGTGAAGTTGAGCGGGAAACATGAAATTTATGAGCATACTTACAATTGGGGATTTTGATTCTTTGAGCACGGAATTAATTGCTATAGGGGTATTTTGGGTACCCTAATTTTATTGATATGTAGTAATTGGATTTATTTGATTTTTTTTCGAATAGGTTCACGATTAGGAGTTGCGATCGGACGGGTAAGATCGGAATTGCCATTTCCGTACAATTTCAAAGAAGGTGAAATTAGTTTCGGTTCAATATCGAGAAAGTTCGATTGGGATTAAAAAAAGTTGTTCTGAAATCATAAATTTTTGAATTGGATTTGGCGGAGATCGAATTTTTTTTCTTCTATTAACCTATGATATAAGATAAACTAAGGATGAACCAAAGTGGAAATAATCCTTAGGCATACCCTCTTAGAGAGGAGAAAGTACTATACTGCCCTTGTATGTAATTTTTACCTAAATTGAATTCAGCATTGCTGGTCATGCATTTAGCCTTTTCGCTGATCTATTTATTTATTTAAAAAAAAACATTTTTTCTATTTTTTTTTAAATTAAATTGATATGTTTACCGTATTGAAAATAACTACATGTAGTTGTATTAAATTATAGTCATTCGTAGTTATGTTCTTTGTTTTTACTCTAAATTTTTAGTCGACCGATTATGTACACACACGAATATTGGCTTAAACAAAAGAAATTCATAAACCCCAACAATAAAAATTCATAATTTTAATAATTATATTATAAATCACCTCATAACCAATAAATACAAATCAAAACATACAAATATATGCATATATTACTACATGTTACTATATGTAACTAGTAATGTATAATAATGTACAGTAATGTATACAGTCTCTAGAACACTGTAACTTGAAACAAATGAAACTTCAACCAAATTTTTTGACACATTTAAAGAGAGCATCAATGGCTTCTATTAAGCTGAAATTGCAAAATCTAAACAAAAAAAAATATTTTAGAGCAAATCAACAAAAAATGAAGAAACATAAAAAAATTGAAAATAGACAAAAAGACATCGAGAGATAGAGAAAGAGAGGCCATAGCTACAAATTTTTGACCAGATCGCCAATGACTCCTCACCGCAAGGGCCTCCTACCAAAACCCTAGTCATCGCTAACCACCCAAGGTTTCGCGCTCACAAATGAAAATAATTATAGAAATATATATGACAATAAAAAAAGGAACGAAATTTCCACCAAAATATAGATCTCGACGAGATTAATCCAACGGTGGGTAACCCATCAAATTTCGATATCCGGAACACAAATTACACCTCTGGCAAGATCCACCGTCGTCGAAATATGCGCCGACTGTAAAACAATAGCAGAAACAGATCCAGAGAAATTTTATGAAATCTGCACCAAAAGAAAGAGCTTGACGGAAGGAATCTAACGGTAGTTGAACCATCAAATTTCGACCATCGGAGAGAGAGTTATGACTTTCGGGAAGCAACATCGTCGGTTGGAGACCTATGAGGACGGGATTTGAATCTGGGAGTTGAGAGGAGAAAAGAGAGCTGACTGTGAGTTGACTAGGGTTTAAAACTTATTTTAAAAGGGCATTTTAGGTATTTAGTGGTCACGGAGTGTCAAATTATTATCATAAAAGAAGGGATTTGCACTAGGGTGTAGTTCGTTTGGTGGTTAATTAGTTATATATAATTTCTATATCTGGGAGATCTCTAAAATAATCTCATATAATAATTACATGGGGAAATTTGCTAGTCACCTCTTATTTTGGACTTATATAGGTACTCCTAGTTGCTAGATGAATATAGACATAGGTCTTTTGAATCAAAAAAATAAAATAATTAGTGTATAGACATAATCACCCTCAATTAATAAGATAATAAATCTCATATATCTTCTCTCTCTAATCTCACATTTCTCTCACCCTATATTTAATCTCTCATATCTTTCTCTCATCTATGTCTCACGTCTTTCTCCCTCTCTCGAGCTTCTCTGTTTTTTTTTTTCTTTTTCATTTTCTTTACTTTTTTGATAAAGAAATATTATAGAGAAGGAAAAAAATAGGAAATTTTTTAGATTATGAGATGATTTTTTAGTGGAAGAATTAAAGAAGACAACAAAAATTCAGAAATCCAAAATCATAGCCAAAATTCATATTGTGTCTCTCGTATGTAGAACCTTCCCATTGTTTTTGTTGTTAGCAATTTTCGTTTGCAAGTTAGTTTAACTTCGTTTGTTCTCTGAAAAATTGCGTTTGATGTTGAGATTCGCTTCCTCTAGTTTGCAATTTGCAAGGTATGTCTTAAGTTACATTTTACAAACATTATGTTTAATGTTTTTGTTGTTTGCAAATTGTTCTATAAACAATTTTTTGGTTGATGTTTTTAATGATGCTGATTTTTTTTATTTTTTTTTCAGTTTGTTGTTTGCATTTGGCCAAGTCATAGGTAGTTTATTGCTTGCAATTCAATAATGCAAGTTTTGCTAAATGTTTTTCTTCAGTTTGCTGTTTGCATTTGGCGAAGTCATAGGTAATTTTTTGTTTGTAATTCAGTAATAAAAATTATGGATTTCAGTTTGTTGTTTGCATTTGGCAAAATCATAGGTATTTTGTTGTTTGCAATTGAATAATATAAAATCTAATTTTTCAGTGTGCTACTTGCAGTTCGCGGATTCATAGGCGTCGCACTTCCCGGATAATAGGCGGTGGTGGGGGTGCGGTGGCGTTTTTAGAGTATGAGTTTGTAAAATAAATTGTATATTTTTTTTATGAATTAATTTATTTGTTTTAGTTAATATTTGGAATAGAGATATTTTGAAATTTGTTTTGATAGAGAGATTTTTGGGATTTTATTTGATTTAATTACGGGCGTTTTTGCCAGAATAAATATTATTAATTTATTAAAACATTAAATTTTGACTTGCATTTACACACATAAATTATAATATAGATGGACCTATAGCAAATTGCCTCTAATTACATTGATATTATAAATATAATTTTGGAATAAAAAAAGTGTAATTTTGGAATAAAAGTGATCTTTTTACAAAATCTATTTTGGAAATTTAAATGGGAGTGGAAATTGAAATATTGTGTATAATCTAATTTTGTTCCAAAGCAATTTGGAAATCAAAATTTTATTATTTTGGTGTGAAAAAATAATGAATGTTCTAAATTAAAAGGGATTGGAATTTGGAACCACCAATATCATGTGGTTTGACTAAGTTTATAAACTGTTAAAAATAAATTATAATGTGTTTTAGAATTTATAATTTTTTCAAAGTTGTTTGGTATTTCTTTTATTATTTTTTTGTAAAACATCTTAAAAATTCATAAAATAAACTTAGAAGTATAAGATTTATAGTAAAATATTTTCAAAATCAAGTGGCATTGGGGCCAACTCTTGTTTCATATTAAGTGTCACTTTGGTCATATTTTTTTTCACATTAAATATTATTTTATATATAATTTCAAGGTAGGGTTTCTCAAAGAAAAAAAGAACAATTAGTTTGTCGTCCAACTTTAACCTAACATTAATGAAAGTGATACGGGGAAAATATGATAAATTTGTCAAATTAGAACCTTTTATTTTCCCAAAAAATTAAGGTTATTTAGTAACTTTCTTAATTAGTGTGTATCAGCCTTAATATGAAACGGAAGGAGTAACATATTTTTTGTCCATTAAGTACTTGTAATTTAATTTGATTAATTTGTTGTGTCTACCGATAATATTGATTGGGATATTTGTCGAAAAGGACAATAAGGCATTTAACGGATAATATTATTATAAATTTTATTTTCTAGTTTTGCATTAACGAATTTTAAAACGTGTCTTGTAAATGTTACTCCCTCTGTTCCATAATATCTGTCTCTTTTGAGAATTTTTTTGTTCCATATTATCTGTCACTTTACAATTCAAATGCTACATTAATTGCTCATTTTTCAATTTTACCCTTATTAACTCTATAGCACTATTCCTGCATTAATTAATAAACAAGGATATTTTGGTCCATCAATATCTATTTTCCTAAACTCAAGACATATTTATTGAGATTCTTAAGATTTGTGTCAAGGTGAAAAACGACACCTATTTAGAAACGGAGGGAGTATACAATAGAATGAAATATAAATGCGAGTACTCGAATAGCATGTGTATATACACGTAATCACATACATAATGTACTACCATAAGAAAAAATGGAATTAGTGATGCTATAATTATGATACTATTATATCAAATGACGTAAATTATTTTGTTGTCACTTAATCATTTTTTATAGTCACTAAAAGAAGTGACAGTCTCCATGTATTGTCGCTATATAACATTACTCTATTAGTTACAACCATAGAGAACATTTTCCGGCTAATCATGTGAAAATGAATGTTGTTCCTCGGGGAATACGATGCTACACCTGGTGATTTTCACTGGGTGGCTCTTTTTTTGACATGTGTCATTTTTTATTTATTTTATCATTATATTTCTAAAACTCATTGGGCCATAACCGAACCCGTAGTAGGAATCTTA